CAGCGGAGTCTTTGAAGGGGATGTCACTATCTCGGAAACGGAATAGAAAAGTTGCAGTGGCTTTTGCACCACATACAAAATTCGCCAGAGATATCCTCTTGGACTCCCTCTTAATTGGATGATGTCACCAGTTCTCTTACTCCATAGCACGGTTTAGGTTACATTATATTTTTAATTTGGAGTCTAATATATGCCTGCAGGAGAGAATACGATGCTGTTTAAATTTTTAACATCCAGATGCATCCAGTTTGCATAACCACAGTCTTCCTCACAACCATTTGTGGTTTGATTACACATTAAATCTGACCAATTTGGGGCTTTGGCTTAGAACTTCATAGTCAACAAACTTCTCCCATCGGAGATTATTTCACTTCACGAGCATCGAACACGGTACTGCGCGCCTGCTGTGCCACTCCCAGTCACACACTCCTCCACTGCCCACACTGATTTCACACGGCATTGCCACGCTGTTAATTGAACATTCTTGCTTACCGGTTTTGCACTTAACTTATCGCAGTTTGTTCAACACAAACTGACCCCCCTGCTCTACAGAGTCCTTATTTATACTTCTTGTAATTGTTACACACACGTTTCCAGTCTTTTCCATCAGCTTCTGAAATATTCCACTTGAGCCCATATGTTTGTAGTGAGACTCTGACTTACAATACTCATGTATATAATAGGTCACGTATAGGTCAAAGTCATATGGAAGTCACGACAAAATCAGTCGAATTGTTTGCGAGATACAAGTCTTTAAGTTTCTCAAGGTCATTTGTTATCACGCTTATTTCTGCCAAACCGTAAGTGACATTTTGGTCATACTCATGTCATAATTATTTCGCTAATAGGCCAAGATCATGTCGAGACCACGACAAGATCACGCAAACCGTTTGAGAGTTAAAGGCCTGAAATATTTCAAGGTTATTTTATAGTAATATTCTCTCACGCATATACGTAGAGGACTGAAGGAATCTGAGTGACACTCCTAAAGTCATTTAGAGGTCACAGATAATTCAAGGTCATACGAAGGTCACAATATAAACACAGTGGCTAAGTTAGATAGGGATATATTACGTTACGTTAGGTTGGGTTGGGTTAGGTTAGATTAGATTAGATTAGATTGGGTTGGGTTAGGTTAGGTTGGGTTAATTTAGGTTAGTTTAAATTATGTGAGATCGGATCAGTGTGGGTTGGGTTAGGTTGGGTAAGGATAGGTTAAGTCAGCTTGGGTTATTTTAGGTTAGATTGGGTTAGGTTAGGTTAGTTTAAGTTAATTTAGGTTAGTTTAAATTTTGTGAGATCGGATCAGTATGGGTTGCATTAGGTTAGGTTTGGTCAGGTCCACGAAGTTTAATTTTCAAAATCACATTTTGCACATTTATTGTCCTCCAAATTTCTTCCGAACTGTAAGTATCTGAGTGAATGTACTCATGTCACGTTGAGGTCACTGAAATGGTGATGCCTCACACATACCAAATTTCTACCTAAGTATCCTGTTTAAAAAGTATCTTTAGTAGTGCGTAAATAAGCAGCAATACCACATTTCATACCAGTAACATCAATATTATTTAAATTCTGATGATAAAAACCATAAACGTACCATGTGATTACTACCTAATATTTCGGCCCCTTTAGAATATCTTGAGCTAGCAATGAACTCAGTCACGAGTGCTCTCTGTGTATCGTAATTCAGTCGTTGTATTCACTAGTAAATGGTATTATTTAAGATAAACTTTTATATGAACAAAAAAATATTAAAACCAAATAAAATACACTAAGCCCTACAACTTAAAAGTCTGAAACAGCTGTAAGCATATATTATGAGATATTAATTACGTGCTTTAGTCCTGTGTTCTTTGTATTGGAAAACGTGTAGACATAACTTAACAAAAATTCATGAATAACTTATTACAAAGGAATTGAAAAGGTTAAAATGTGCGGAGTTTAGTGACATTTCTTACAGTTTTACACGTGGCCGGCGTACGTAATGTATACTGAATAACTGAGGGCTGTTGGAAACGCGGAAAATCACATTAAGTGGCATGTGCTACATAGAAAATGCAAAATACTTACCCCTAAACGAAGTGCATGCCACAGCTGTCGGAAACAAACTGAGTCGGAGTAATGCGAGAACTACGACTGGGAACGATCAATTTGTAGTTCATATATTGAATTATAGAGGTCGGCGTAAACGTTATTAAGCAGCGTACCTGTTTTGTAGTCATACAAATTAAACGTTTCCAATGTATCGAGACATTGACTTGTTTGTCAGAAATTGATATTTTTTAATATACGAGTTGCGATCGGAAAGTTTTTAGACTGCGCCTATAAAAACCCGTACACTTATCTCAGGTATTAAATTAATCCATCACCCTCGAAGTAGTTCCCCTGGGAGTGAACACAACGATCCCAGCGCCGCTGCCAAGCCTGGAAGCATCCCTGGAAATCTTTCTTTGTCAGCCTGTCAAGCACCATCTGCGATTCTGCCTGAATCTCTTCTATCGTCTCAAATCTCCTTCCCTTTAGCTGAATTTTCATCTTTGGGAAGAGGAAGAAGTCACACGGCGAATAAGGAGGGTGCGGGATGACGGCCATGGTGTTTGAGGCCAAAAACTGCCGAACTTTGAGGGCGGTGTGCGCTGGCGCGTTGTCTTGATGCGTCGCATGTGGAGTTCTTCCTTTAGAATCAGCTGACAGGTCCCAACAATGTCGCACAAGTCGTTGATGGTACGACGTCGATCTTCGTAACATTTTCGGGCGTTGTGCTCGAAGATGGTCGTCCAGAACTCTCGTCATCATCGACAGAGGTTCGGTCATTTTTAAAACGTGAATGCCACACCAAAGTTTGCGGACTCCCCAAATGCTTGCTTTAGCATTTCATAGGTTTCCGTAGCCGTTTTGGCGAGTCTTTGGCCAAATTTGATGCACACGCCATTCCGAAATCGCAGGAGGGTCGGTGTAATGCACTACCAAAACGCCCGTAACTAAGAAACAAATGCTAATTCGATGATGCTGGCTGGCACACTGATTCACTATGAATGTAGGCCGCACCCACTAGCGGCAGAAGCTCGTACTATATCCGGTTCGCCCGCTATTGACACAGTCTTGAAACTTTCCGATCGCACCTCGTATCTTGTAATTATTGAACTGATGACCCGCGTTCAGAATCTGGTCAGAATATTCTGTCCTTTCGTTGCAATTAAAGCCCATACTTACTTATTGTACGTAATCCTAAAAGTATGCCCAGTTTTTAATTTTGATATTATCGTATGGATAACTAACTCTTCTTTAAGGTCAGATATTATTTTCTAGTGTGTATTAAGTTTGGGATGATATTTTGTGTTGTCGCCTTTGAACTATTTGTTGAAGGTGACCAGTTTATCAGGTATATTGTCTTTGTTCGTTGATTAATTACGTTTATGTTCATGGTCACGTTGAATTTGATCCAGTACCCTAATATGGTGATAACTGTTGATCGTTAAGAATGTAATCTACTGCTTGTATTTATTTTCCGTTTCTGTGGTTAAAGTCAGGGCAAGTTCTTATTCTATTGATCATATACGGGTAGTTTATACCGGCAGTAGGATGACAAAAATTCTTATGAACCAGAATTTGGATAGCCTTGGACTTTCTGTAAATCCTAAATTACAATTGCTCATGGGCCCTGGTGATTCTCAAAATGCATTTAATTTTGTTGATTGCCGGTTTAGTGTTCCATAGGAAACTAACTTCAGATGTAACCTATTCGGTCAAAATGAGTCGAGTTTATACTCGTGAGATTAGTGACATTAATGGAATATCACCGGTTTGTCTCTAGTATGCAATAACTGTGTTTATTTTATATTTCAAATACCTCATAATACGTTCTTAACGGACTTAAATTGGTTTCAGTAAGTTTTTATTATTTTATATTTTAGTGTATCAAAAACAGTACTTTTTATCATCAGTAACTAGCACACCATACATACGTAATACGTTACACAGTGTGCTTCATGTTTGAGTTAATTCCCCCTTGAAGACAGTTTATAGGGACCGAAACATGTGCTGGGAATCATATGGTGTATAACTGTTTTGCATTAGAAGAAATTTTAATGAAGTTGGTGTTGTATTAGTGGTATTAAACAGTTTTATTCTTGTGTATTGACTGATTACTGAAGATCCATCTTCTCAGGAGTCTGCACGGAGTTACATCACACAAAAACTTTATCATCTTCACTAACGTGAGAACCTAAACTTCATGATGGGCTATATATTTACTTAATTTATTATATTAAAATTAAATTATTTGGTTATTCCGTCAAATCACAATGTATTTAAAATAAGATAATTAAAATATCATTCTGTGTTCCATATCGAATAATCGATTTACAATTGGAACAGTTACAACATGTTTCGGTTTTATTAAACCATCATCAGGTGTAAAATTATATTAAATTTAAAACTCAATTACAATTTTTTACAATTTTTCGTAGTGTAGTTTTTTGGAGGTCGTGTCCAGATATTTTCATATAATGGATCAACTTTATTGTTTGAAGTCCGAAACATGTTGTAACTGTTCCAATTGTAAATCGATTATTCGATATGGAACACAGAATGATATTTTAATTATTTTAATTATCTTATTTTAAATACATTGTGATTTGACGGAATAACCAAATAATTTAATTTTAATTTAATAAATCACAATATGACGCAACTGCACTATCTTAATTTATTATATCTAAATTTCTCTCATAGGTTCATTTTTATCGCCATGATCCTGCTTTTACGTCATCTGTAAAGAGCCCAAGATGCATTGCCATAAATACTCATGGCGCTTGAATGTTTCTGAACCAAATTGAGTCTAGCAACTTGGTTTATTACTTGCACTGCTCCATTGTAATACAGAATTAATCGAAGTGTCGAATAATTTTAAAACTAACAGTACGTAAACTAAATTAAGCTTCAATACAGAACTTGTCAATTTTGAATCTTTAAATATTGTTTTGTCTTTATGGAAACAAATAGGCCCCTTTTGAATGTAAAACACGTAGAAGTTTTCAGTTGTTCAAATGTTACTTGGTGATTATATGAGACGATCAGTTGATCAATTAGTCGTTTGTTAGTTTGTGAGCCATTTGTGAGTAATTCTCACAGCGAGTGACTGAGTAAGACAGTAAGTCAGAGAGTCAGAGAGGTAGTCAGTAAATAACTTAGTAAGGAGTGAACTTTTACAGATTCAAGACTTTCTCCCTCACTGGTGCAGAATTTGGAGTAAAATTCTTTGCCATCCCAGTCAACAGATGGTGTGATTTTATAATTAACTGGGGTATTTAATGGCCTATGGTTTATAATAAGATTCGGCTGATTATACCGAAGTAAACTTTTCTGATTTTCTTCATATGCTTCTAATACTGATAGTGTGTACTCATCTGTCCGTGACTGTGTTTTCCTCATACTGCGTTTTGTATATTTAACCTCGTATTACCTGGCACCTGCCACGGTGGTCTAGCGGTTAGAACGCTTGCCTTGTAATCCTGGGGTCTCGGGTTCGATTCCCGGCGGTGCCTGAATTTATAACTTGTGTTGGGCAAGTCCGTGGTCTAGGCAACACGGAGTTTTGCTCCGTGGCATCCCACCAATTACTCCATTCACACACAGAAGAAGGCAATGGCAAACCACTTCTGGATCATCTGCCAAGAACGTATATGAACAGGTCCCAGTCCGAGAAAAGGATCGAAGGATCCTGTTCATATGGACCTGTCCTCAGACAGAACACTAATAATAATAATAATAATAATAATAATAAAACTTACCTAACGTCATCCAAGATATTTCATGTTAATTTTCACTTGCCAAGAAAAATTTCCATGCCCACGAAGTTTTCCGCGAAGACTGAAGAACGTGTCTGCGAATACTTGAAAAAAAATATGCGATGACGTCATGGTATTATTATATAACCATTTAACGTGTTAGACACGTCCAATCAATACGGTTAGTCTAAAATGTTTTACGTGATGTTAGTGGTTCGTTTCGAAAGCTTTCACAAACACAAGGCGGGTTTGAATAAAATATGAGGCGTGCGGATACAATTGTTTCGAAACCTGAGTGGGATCTCGCTCAAACGAATCATGTGACGCCTGGCGTCATACTGACGTCACGTCCTGTGCGTGGGCGAGGCGCGTTGACGGAAACAAGAATTGTTTAAGCTTGAAGATTGGGGCTGCCATTCAATTCAAAATAGTTTTTCTTTCTGCCTCTTGTATAAAGCTTAAAAACTGAGTAGGATTTGAGGTCTTCTGGGTTGTGCCATGTAGTCTGGTAGAAGTTTACCGACGTTTCAGAGGCCCTTGCTGCCTCCATCATCAGGGCGATCGTCATGTTATTAAAACTGAAATGAATGTTGTGGTGTGGTAATCCTATTTAATCGATTCTCTTGTATATATTTTTTTTTGATTTAATTGTTATAATATTAAACTTTGTCGGATATTACGATGTCCAGACTCCACAGTGGAATTGTTGGGTGAACAATGTAAATCAATGCAACAAAATCCTTCTTGAGAAGTTGATAATCGCTCAGATGGACTTCAAATTGTTCCCTTTTCCGGTACCCGAAAATTTATAAAGCAGCTCTTTTCAGAGTCAGTTGATCCGGTCCAGAGGCTATTTCTTCAATACACATTTTAAAAGTATCGTAAAATCTACCCCTAGATCTCCGAAGTTGTTCCTTCCCTTCAGATTTCCTGACTAAAATTTTGTGTCCCTGTCTTGTCTCTCCCATTTGTGCTATTAATGTAATCTTTGCCTATGACGAAACGTGCTTTGTGTGAAGAGTTAAGTGGTAGAATGCATCCACTTTATAACTCTCAATGTGTCATCTGCCGTTCAGTCAATTTATAACCAGATACATTTCGACTTTTGTGGTCACAGAAATAAATATATTTAAAATATTATTTATGTCAATTTATAGAGGGAATAGACAAGTAGGAGAATTCGTGTGAGAAGTTTATTTTATGTATGTAATGGACGGTCGACAATGACAACGGAATTATAAACTGTATTTTTAAACACGAATGTATTCCTATACTTGCTAGGAACACGAGAGGTCGGTGAGACCGATAGAGTTTCATCAGAAAACTATTCTTGTG